TTCCTTGAATCCAGCTATTTCGCTTATAAAATGCAGTTTTAAATCGTTTAGCGGGGTACATACGTCATCGTGTAACTTCCGGATGTTTCTAAACATTAGACTGTTTCGCCATGATAACTTGTGGAACAATAAATCGTCTATATGGAGGGCCTGGATATTAAGCGTTCAGCATAATTTACAAAAAATGTGAAGGATTAGTCGGCGGTCTCAAGGCATGGTATGAAGTAGTGCACTTCTTTAATGCGAAAATATCTGATATCTGCTACTTGTCGAGAGAATATATTGAGGAGTACTTTTTAGATAAATGTATTCTAAAGTCAGCATCCTTTGAGTAGAGCGTTCGGGAATTTGTGAGTGGTGGATGGTTCGAAGACCAAAAAACAGTGTGAACTGCCTTTGGTGCCGCACTCATGGATCATTGAGTTAAATAAATTCCAGTCAGCCATCATGATCAATATTTGCTTACCTACCGTTCCAAGGTTTAAAAGTAGAAATCCTTCGCTCCGTATCCCTGAAGCATCTCACATTTTTTAATCCTCTTTCTTATAGCTCCCCGCTTCCTTATTATTCTCGGGCGCGCTAAAAGGAAAAGAAATCCGCCACCTAGTTGACGATAAATCAGCGAGTCATGTCGGTCCAAAGGCCGCTTAAGAGAACAGCACTAACGCGAACGAGAGACCCTCATTATTTAACGACTAGACACATAGCTGCAGTCATCAGGAGTGTTGCTAGCGACAAGAAAAATCAAAAAAGCAATTATCGACGGTTTGAGCGGATCCTTTAGGGAGGGAGAGACTGAACTCGGTCATTTCTCGGTAATACAATTTTCTTAATTGTGCCACGTTAGATGTGAGAATAGTGGCTTGGTCACTAGGGCAACAAAGATAGTCGCTTGAGGTCTCAAATGATTGCTTGGGCATGGAAAACAACAGAATAATATTGTGGACGCAGAGTGGGTGCATGATGTACAAACCGCAATTGTTATGCTACCGCACACCTGCTAATAATCATGTCGTCGGCATTCACTACAAATTTTGGTAGTTCTATTGGGGATGTTTCGAGCACATAAGTCCGCATCCTGGATGGCGTTGCTCTTTCCTTTAATAAGTATCATAATCTTGCTCCGTTCTAAAAACTGGCATCTGGATTTCTGTAACCTATGGGCCAGAGAGAAAACCTATTTTTGCCAAAATATCCCAATATGATTCGCATTGCGAAGACTGTGAATGAGCTCTTTTTTAGATGAATGGGAGGCCCGAGGGTGGTAAATATCATTGTTTTTTTACGCCTCTTACTACATCATTTCTCGTTTTGAGGCTTTTCACCTGAGAGACACAAACTTTAACTGTATTTAATAAAAAATAAAAATGTAATTTAATTATTTTTACATGTAAAACGTATTTCAATATACAGGGACATCAAAAATCAATGCAAATAATCCACATAACATTATACACTAATTATTTACAGAGCGCGGTTTCGCAGGCGGACGAAGAGAAGTTAATCCAAAAGCGTATCTTGACATTGGATAATGTGCCATAAAAATCAATATTACAACTGCAGCTAAACACTCCTTAGTACATAATAATATAGGTATATTTAATCATTTCGACGGATGTTTCTGGAGTAGGCCATAAACAATTTGTAATAAAAATAAAAGTAATACAATCCACGTCTGGGGTCCCGATAACTCAGTAGCTATTTCCAAAACGCAAAATACAGGCCCTTAACTAAGAGCAGATATTTGACCAACACTTTGAGTGGATCCTTTAGGGAGAGAGAGACTGAACTCTGTCATTTCTCGGTAATACAATTTTCTTAATTGTGCCACGTTAGATGTGAGAATAGTGGTTTGGTCACTAGGGCAACAAAGATAGTCGCTTGAGGTTTAAGATCAGTACTTGACTATGGAAAACAATAGAATGAAATTGTGGACGTGGAGTCTGCGCATTAGGCATAAACCGCAATTGCTATGCTATCGCACGCCTGCTAATAATCATGTCGTCCGCATTCACTGCAAATTGTGGTAGTTCTATTGGGGATGTTTCGGGCACATAAGTCCGCAACCTGGACGGCGTTACTCCTGTCTTCTATAAGTATTATTGTGTTGCCCTGCCCAAGTAACTAACATTAGCTTTACGAGACGTCGACGAAACGGTGACATAGCCAATGGACAGACACTCTCCCCCTCCCCATCCCTACGCCCATGACAGAACTATACTTTACTCCTGACTTCTGATCGCCTTCTCCCTTATCCTTACTTTTATTGGCTGTTCAAATTTTGCTCCTCTACCTCCCTCCCCTTCTACTACTCTACAGGCTTGATGATGAATTATCAAAAACGATTGTACAAGTGATTTGGACTGCGGAGCAACAATGTATCGTGTGTAATTCGGAGCCCCGTTGACGGTAAGAGACTTCAGATGAACCTCAATCGGTTGTAAGAGGGACCAAACCGTTGGCTCCTTCAGCTCAACGCTTGTAATTGAAACGTACTTTGTGTAAGAAACCCGGCCATATCTCCCAGCAAAAGAGACTGCTTAATGGGGGTTACAGCTTTAAGAGACGTGGAAGCCCAAAAAGACCCCGGTGTGCTGAAGACCAATTCCCACCAACCATCCGCTCATCATTAGTCAGTGGTAAAATGCGCAATGTCTGTACTGTACGCCGTCAAACATGTACTTTCGGATTTTAATGAAGACGTCATCTCAAAGGATTTAGAACATTTGCGCGGCCGCACTTGGAATACGTTACAAAAGCCTGGGGACCAGGTGCAGTCCAAAATCATAATTGTCTTTCAAGAGTCAAAGGAGAGCCAGGAAATGGTTAGGAGTCAAAACGTCCTTCCTTCTGCAACCTGCTTACAAATTCCGAACCTCTTCTCTTCCAGTTATAGGCAACTACGTGGTCATCTCTTGCAAGCATTCCGCAATGCGAAGGGACTGGACTGCAGCCTGGCCTTTGAAGACTTTTGAATTCGCTGCCACTACCAACCTCCGAGGTCGACCGTCGAAACTTAGCATTCAGCAGGCAAAACTAAATTTGCGGAAGTTTTCATTTTCTTTCTGAGAGGGCAAGCCATGAAACGCCCCCCCCCCCAAAGATACTGTGATGTCACCATCGATGTAAGGAGCCAAAAGATCCTTGACGTATTTATGTTACGAAATGAGCAAACGCGAAGAGAGATCAAGTTCATACCCTGAGACTCACCCCCAATTTGCCATGCAAATATTGAGCCGTTTGGGTTATCTCAACCTATATGTCTTTCTCTGTATACCGCAGCCAAATTTTGCATTGCAAATAGGATACTCCCAGACTCACGCCTATTTCCCTGAATAAAATGAAGTGAGCTGAAATTGATGGTTGCCTTAATGGCACATTTGTCATCTGTCTTGACACATACGTCTGTGGATTTGCGATTTTGACAAAATGGTGCATTAGGTCAGCGAATAAGCATTCATCTAGGACAAATTAACTGGTACACCTAGTCCAAAGCTTAATACCAGCGACGAAACAGTGACATAGCCAATGGACAGACACCTTCCCCCTCCCCATCCCTATGTCCATGACATAAGTATGCTCTGCTTCTGACCTCTGAACGCCTCCTGCCCTATCTTAACTTTTATTGGCTGCTCAACTTTTGCTAATATACCCTCCCTTAAACTACTGTACAGGCCCTATGATGAATGAGTTCGTCATCGTCTACAAAAGATTTGATGAGCAGAAATCCCGAGAAATCTTATGCCTTATAATCCTCATCAGAAATGGCAACGGATTGAAAATCGAAAATTTAAGGAGGTAAATCATACGATGGAGGACGCAGATTGCAGCATACTTCTCTACCTCAGTTACGCGTTTTATTATACGGGTTGTTAACTGCAAGTGCATTTACAGGGCATTCGTAGAGGTCAATTTCGGACGTGACCTTCGGTACTTCAGTTTTTGTCCTGGAGTCATCGTTTATTTAGTACAGTCATAAAGCGTTCCTCGGTAGCTTTAATGGGCCATGCAGAGGGAAGATGTGTTAGTGTTCTATGTATATCGTCCCGATAATATAAACGTGTGATGATCTGCTGAATACAGTAACCCTGGTTTACTATGTCCCTAAACTATTTGCTTATTTCATCAAAGTTGTGAGGGTCTAGTTAATCAAGAGATTCCGTTGCATCCGACTCGATGAGATGTGGTTATTTAGCCCCATTTGTTGGACACGATATTGTTTGGGTTGTGGTTGGGGTTAGGGTAAGGGGTTAGAGATGGGGGTTAGTGTTATAGGTTAGAGTTGAGGTTAGGGCAACTATTTCTCAACCACTCAGAGTAAAACCGCGCGACGCCAATAATTCTTCTTTTTGCATACAACTAGTTGACCTCGTCGACTGTGCGTCCCCCGGTCCCACCTGTTGAAGCCCCTATTACCACAGGTCCCATATTACAAGCGGCCGGGGTTTGCTTACTTCAGGTGACGCTACATAATCACATCTGACCTCCACCTCGTTTCACAGAGCCAGTTTTGCTCGTCAATATAAATGTGCTATGACCTCCAGAGCGCAGTATTCCTGGTGTATTATGTCTCTAAATTATCTGGTTTTTTTTATCAATGCTGAGTGAAGTCTATCCTCACTGTTTTTCCACTTGAATATTTGATCTTTCTCAATTTGCATTACCAATAGACAGAGCACTGCAACCCACCGCCTATAATGCCATTCTCGTTGTCACTGTTTTCTCGTTGTTAACAGGGCACACGCCAATGCATTTGGCACTCAGCATACGCCATCAGCGACTTCTAGCCAGATTATCACTAACCAACGGGAAATGCACTATTTCTTTTTTTATAAATCACCCCCCTTTCTGTACATACTATCCGATGTGTGCCAGTGTCGGCCAATCAGAACCCGTAGGTTTTAGTGCAAGCGTGCGTGTGTTGCATGTAGGGCCACAAAAAAGGCAGCGTTTGTGCCACTTATGGCAGTCTGTCTCTCCTGAGCTGGCTCGTACTCCGAATGGCGCTCCCCCAAGCAGAAATATTCGAAGACGAACTTCCCCTGATTCGAAGCTGTCCTGCATTGAACGAAATTCGCCTTGCTCAAGATATAAAAGACTTGACAATAGAGGTAGCTGTCTTTACTGTGGACATTTTATGTCTGTGTGTGTGCATGTGTTAGGTAAAACATGGCCATGTTTTTCACGTCCATCGAATAATACTAGCTGCTCGCATTCCATCTTTGCGAGCAGCTCTCAGTGGACCGTGTGGGGAGGGGAATTCAGTCCTCAGATGGCCGACAATACCTCTCAGGTAAAGCTGTCATCTTTGATTTTGCATGCGTTACCTAGCCTTGCCGCTTCACTCGTCCAGTATATTTACACTGGTCAAGTGGAGATGATGCAGGCGAATGTGAAAGGCATGGTTACGTTAGCGAGAATGCTCAAGCTGCCTGACCTCGAAAATTGGGGGGTGAAATTCATGGTGAAAAGGTAAATATTTCCCGGTTTTTCCACTCTACCTCCCCACTCTTAAGGGTCACTTTAGAAAATTTAGCGTCCACATGGGACATTGCGAAATCTCTGAATATCCGATCACTGATGCAGGCTTGCTTGAATCTAATGGAAACGCAGTTTAAAAGTTTTGTCTCTAGTGAGCTCTTTGTCCGCCTGCCAGCTGACACGGTCTTAAGTCTGCTTCGAAGCACTAATCTCTCAGTGGAATCTGAGGAGCATGTGTTTGACGCCATTGCAAGTTGGGTGGGTGATGGTGCGGAGGACGCCAACGAGAGGTTAAAATTGCACGCACCGAATATGCTGAAAGAGGTTCGGTGGTGCCAGACGACTCTTCAGTTCCGCAAGCATCTCACGGATAATCATCCAATGTTTCAGAGCAATTTGGAATGTGCGTAAGTATAGGCCGTGGAACCTCGTTATTTTCCTGGTAAAGCAAGTTTATGCTTCAGGTTGAACAGTGGATGAGCTTCGCGGACGAGGACAAGCCTCCGTGTCCATTCAATCAACATGGGAGACCCACTCTGTCCTTCTTAGTATTTGGACGAGATAAAGATCAGGACAGATGGTTCGTCCTCCGTTTAGATTCAGACCTGAAAAAGGAAAAACGATTTGCTGACATGGAACCGCGCGCGTACGCCTCCTACAGCGTCGTGGGCGGTGAGTTTTCTGACAGTTACGTGCTCTTATCAACTCATTAAATAAATTTCAAGAATTAACGGTTTTTTCCCCAGAAGTATAGCACATCCTTCTGTTAGTATGATTGGGATTTTGAGAACTTGTTTCCGTCCATTTTTTTCGCGTAACGATTATGTCCACCGAGAATTCCGTCAAAATTTGGACAGGATAAAGATCAGGCTAGGTGGTCCGTCCTCCGTTTAGATTCAGCCCTGCAAAATGAAGAACGGTATGCCGACAGGGAACGGCGCTCTTGCGCTTCTTACAGCGTCGTCCGGAGTGAGTTTTCGGACAGTTACGTACTCTTATCAAGTCATTTGTTAAATTTGAGAAATTAACGGATTTTTCACCAGAAGGATAGCACATCCTTCCGTTAGTATAATTGGGATTTTGTGATCCAGTTTCCGTCCATTTTTCCGCACAGTGATTATGTTTCCGAAAATTCCGTCAAAATTAACAAGCAAGAACAGTGCCTTAGGAATATCTGATAAATCGGAAACATCGCATTTCTTGCATTTTTTATAAAGTAGGTACAGTTTGCCTAAACAAGTCCTCATTTACAGGGTTTTCCTGTTGAGTTATCGTTAGCTTCTCGTCTAGGAAACATTGTCAGATGTTCGTCCTTCACATGACAATATTCCAAATTCTCGCATATGCACTTGCTGCCACGAGGACAGAAAACTAATTGCAGTACTAGTCAACTAACATTATCTTGGCCGACGCTAGGTTTTTATTAGCAAATCTGACGGTTTTTGTAAAACCACCTTCCTTATACCCAATCCTCGCACTTTTTTTCTACACGGAAGAGAGCATTTTCGTAGTTGGTGGAGAGATCGGGTCGCAGGTTGGTTTAACGACCGTCGAGGAGTTTCTGGCAGGAGAACAGCGCTGGCGCAAACGGGCGGCCCTCACCGTCGGACGCTCTGCCCACGCAGCCGCAGTCGCGAAAATTGATTCGACCGCAGACGAGGAAAGCCAAGAGACGACGCTGATTGGTGTTTTTGGTGGATCCTCTAACAAAGGCGGCACCTGGGAAAACCTTTCCTCTTGTGAAGTCTATGACGTTAGTCAGGACAGGTGAGAGCACTCGTGGGGAATCTGCGTTACCTCCTTATAAAGCTGGCTGTTCTTCTCACTCGCCTCATCTACCCAAAAGGTGGCGCAAACTGCCCGACCTTCGGGAGAAGCGGAACGGTCCAGCTGCTGTCTGCCTGCCCGGAGACAATCGGTTCTTTGTTTTTGGCGGTCGAGCTGGCTCTTCTGCGCTTGCTTCTGTGGAGTTCTGTCACCTGCGAGCGGACTGGCAGGAAAAGGCGACGTCGACCAGCACCGCAGAGTTCTGGCTACAAGCTGCTCCAATGAGAACGGCGCGAGTCTACCTCGCAGCGACACACTTCAGGGGGAGAGTCATTGTTGCCGGTGGAATTAACGCAAACAAGGATGTCAACGTGGTTGAGATTTTTTCTCCTCCAGACGCCATCTGCCCACTCGGTCAGTGGACAGACCTGGCCGCGATGAAGCAGCCACGCCGTTCTTTCGTTCTTCTCGCCACCGCTGACGCCGTCTTTGCTCTCGGTAAGGACATCTGCCCTTTTGCTCTGCATTCTTCTTCTTATTTCTCGCATGCCTTTTTCCGCAAAACCAGTTTATGAGGCAGAAAGATTAGAGTATCAGTAAGCGTAACCAACTAAAAATATAATTCGGCAAGAGGTTTGAACTTTTTTTACATAAAGGGTAATGCTGTGTATTGTTTGCCTCATTCCTTTGAAATTTATTAAACAAAGACTTCAGTGTTGCGATTTTTCTAAATCTGTAGGCAGTACAAGCGCACCAGAAAACACGATAGAGGTGTTCACTGCACCAGGAGGTTCGCTTGACTCCGGCAATGACTTGGAATCCTGGATCTGGTCGTCGAAGAGCTCAGTAGAATCAATTAGCAGGATTCAAGGAGCTGCAAGCATTCACATATAAACGTCTGTTTTTTTAATGTTGACTTGGGATCTTTTTCATTGTCTGAAACATAAAAATAAATGTTTTACCATTTTCCTATGAATACGTCGGAAGGATATACAGTGCCCAACATGTGGGATGACCGATTTAGACCGTGTTTTACTTTGAGGTGAATGAAACAGATGTTTCTACGCTTTGGACTAGATGGATCAATGAATTTGTCCGAGTGGGATGCTTATTCGCTGACCTAATGCAGAATTTTGTCAAAATCGCAAATCCACAGACCTATGTGTCAAAACGGATGACAAATGTGCCATTTGGACAAACATTAATTTCAGTTCAGTCATTGTTATTGAGAGAAATATGCTTGAGTCTTGGGGTAACCTAGTTGCAACGTAACAGTGGCTGTGGTGTACAGAGAAAGACGTGCGGGTTAAAATAATTCAAACTGCTCAATAATGGCACGGCAAATTGGGGATGAGTCCCAGGGGCTGAGCTCGATCTCTCATCGTGTTTGCTCATTTCAGAACATAAATACGTCAAGATTATTTTAAACCATTATATCGAAGGTGACCTCACAGCATATTTGGAGTTCCATGGCTTGCCCTCTTAGACAGAAAATGAAAACTTCCGCAAATCTAGCTTTGCCGGCTGAATGTACAGTTTTAACGGGTAACCTCGGAGGTTTGTCGTGGCAGCGAATTCAAAAAGTCTTCAAAGGCCAGGCTGCAATCCAGTCCCTTTGCATTGCGAAATGATTGCAAGATATCCTCACGTTCATACCTATAACTCGAAGAGAAGAGTTTCTGATTTGTAAGCGGGTAGCAGCAGGAAGGGCGCTTTGACCCCTAACCATTTCTTAACTCTCCTTTAAGTCTTTAAAGACAATTATGAATTTGAACAGCACCTGGTCTCCAGGCCTGTATGCCATATTCCAAGTGCGGCCGCATGAATGTTTCAAAAGCCCTGAGAAGACGTCTTGCTTAAAATTCGTACGTACCCGCTTGATAGCGTACAGTACAGATATTAAGCTTTTGCCGCTCTCTAGCGATGACCGGGTGGTTTAAGAAAGTTCGCTTTTAGCACACCGAGGTCCCTTTGGGCTTCGACGTCTCATAAAGCTATAACTCCCATAAAGTAGTTTCTCGTACAGGCAGAGCTGGCTGTAATTCCTGGGCGAAGTACGCTTCATTTACCAGCGTTGAACCGAAGGGGCCAACGGTTTTCCCACTCATCCAGCCGAATTAGGTTTATCTGTATTCTGTCTTCATCGGCAGGGCTCCGAATTACACTCCATGCATTGTTGCCCGCAGTCCAAATCACTTGCGCAGTCGTCCACGTATGTAAGGGACAGAAACAGTCGGGAATAGGATGGCTAACCTCACATTATCAAGTAGGGAAATTGACACCATCTCCTAATGATACTCCAACTATTTCCTGAAAACAAACCGAGACCACGTCCACTTAAACTGATGGGAGGGGAGGCGGTGAACTATTGAGTTGCCATTGCTACTAACTTTTGAATGCATTTATTATAAGAAGTCAAGTCCAGAAAACGTATATTTTCGATCACACATCATCAAGCCTGTAGAGTTGTTTAAAGGGTGGGAGAGTGCAGAAAGTTGAACAGCCAATAAAAGTAAGGATAGGGGAGAAGGCGTTCAGAGGTCAGGATCAGAGTAAAGTTCTGTCATGGGCGTAGGGATGGGGAGGGGGAAGGTGTCTGTCCAGTGGCTGTAACTCAGTGTGGCGGGAGATGTAAACACATATACTGAGATTGTATTTGTCCAGGCAGGTCTGAGCGCTTACACAAAGTTTGGGTTGGCTAGCCGTTTGTCCACTGCTTCTGTCGTCGCAAGTATCCGCTGACAGCGGAACTCGGGCTGTCTCGAAGACACTTCATAGATGACTCGGACTGCCTAGTTGACGTCTACCCGATGGCCGCTATCAACCATGCGAGCCACAATTGCGCTAGAGATTGACTGTTGCATACCTTAATTTAGCCAGGCAGACTGGTGCTCTCACATCCGCTGCATAGCCGCCTAGTTGTCGACCAATATAAGCTGCCCTACAGAAGGCGTATAAACACATCAAAGAGGTTTGAAAAGGCAGTCTGACCTTACCTTCAAGGCGAAGAAGCGTAGTGCTTGTGAAAACTAAACTTGTTTTAGCGGCTGGGTGAATGCGCGCGATGGCAACATTTTAGCTGCGAAGTGGAAGCTTGCTTGCTGGACCTCCTCGAAATGCCAATGTTTTATTCAGCCGTTGACAGTTCAGATTTGAAAGGGCGTTCTTCGACACGTTTGCTGATTTGGTGAGCTCCAGATTACAGACTCGATATTTAACATAATATCGCTCACCCCACTGTGTCCGGTAGCGGGTGAATCCCGAGGGAATGAAACTTAGTTGCCATGCCACCACAAGCGAAGAAGGTAACTTGAGGTATATGATTACGGTAACTTACACCAGACCTTCTAATTACTACATTTTACCTTCGTATTCTCACGAGGTTGGGGTGCTGTGATGAAGATGAACGAAGGCGTGAACATCAAGTTGGTCATGTGAAAGTTTTAATCCTTTCCTTGCCCTTTCGTCCGAAATTTTAACACAAGACAAATGAAAAACATTTGTGGGATTTCGAAACCATCTTCCCCTCAGGGGTGCTGAATGCAGAATTTGTGATTTTAATATTTTATAGATAAGAGCGTATCTAACCTGAATTAGCAGTCCAACGTTAAATAAAAGGTTTTTGGATGAATAAGTGATAGCGCCTGGCTGTACTGGATATATGCGCGGCGAGACGAAGAAACGCGCGTGGCGGTCTTCACTGTGGAATAAATAGATGCTGAAACCTGCATCCCCTTTTCATGGCCTAGTCCATGTATGTCTCGATGGCCAATCCATTGCGTCTCAGATGCGTAAAATATGACCTGGTATATTTTATAACGTGAAAATTTATGTGGAATTTCCGCCCCCAAGTTCCTCGAGTGTGGTGCGACAAGAGCTTTTTAATTACTTGAAATCTCGACTTCATTATATTTGTCCTTGACGCACAGGAAGAGACTATTATCGTAGTTGACGAACATAAAACGAATCATGACGGAATAACACGTAGTCCCTTGACATTAGGTGCTAATGCGAATGCGAACATCAAAGAAAAAGTGACCAAATTATGTCGAATGAGCGGATCTCTAGGGTAGCACCACAACAATCCGCCAAGGATCAAAACAGGGGAGTAAGATCTCTGTGCTTATATGCTTACACAAATTGGCCATCAATTCTCGCAATTCCAATCTTTGTATCTTTCGCCTACGCCCTCCTCAAATTGCACCAGTTTCCAAGTCTGCGGTGATTGGAGGAAGAAGGGAGGCAGCGTGGTTTGGCTGCTGCTGGGTTAAGTCTTTTTACATTTCGGGATGGTATAAGAAACTTAAGCGTGCACGGAATTAGATTAATTAATATATTTAGTTTTTTAAGTATTTTAAACTCTGATTTCCGTTTTCGTACCCGTCCTTGTTGTACACTTCGTACACATTGTACACTTTAATCACATAAAAGGACGCATTTGGAATTTCTTCTAGTCGACGTATGCTGTCTACCGCTTCCTTGGGCCCCATGATTAAAATTCCTATTTCCACCATGACCGTATTACAGGCGTGGTAACAGCTTGAATTATAATTGGGGCTACAAAACAAGGCAATAAGCTCCCTCGTAAGTTACCTCTTTAAGAAGTGCCTTCATACAGCACTCCGTGAACCGATCTTTGTGTACTTTACATTTCAGCACGATCAGCCCAAAAACTTTACACTTTTGGCTGTTCCTTTCATGTTCCTAAACTATGCTAACATTTTTTAATTGTCAACATAGGAACCTGTCCTTTTCTATATATTGCGATCATTTGCACTGTTTTTGCTCGCTTTAAGACTACTTTTTTGATTATGAATGCACAGCAGAGCACCCATACAAACAGTGATATTTGTTGAAAGTTTTAGTGGTTTCCTAGTTCCCTTTCTGGTTAAGGTATGTGCGGAAGCTAGACTACACGAAAAGTAATGTTTCATGTGTCTAAAGCTGTAAAATGACCATTCGGTGGTGGTCATTTATGTAAAATCACGTAAACGTCTCCCAAGCGTCAAAATAATTTCATCCAATTTAAACGAGGGAATCCTTGTCTGCATTATTACTGCAGTTGTGGGCACCAAATCGCATAGATCTGCTAATAGGACTTTTAGGAATTGCTAAGACATCTGCTTCTCGAAAAATAACCTTTGTGTTAGCAAGAAGATTACCAAAGTAAGCATCGGACATAAAATAAATTTCAAGTTCGCCTAAAACTGCATATTAAAACTCTCGTAGTTAAGTTAATTTCTCTCTAATGCAGAAATCGCTCAGACAAGCAACCGGACTCTCGGACATGTAATGACATCGGGAATTACAAGAATATTTAGCGAAGTCTATTTTCGCTAAAATGTACCAACATTCTGCTTGATATAATTACGTAATCACAGTTGCTGCATAAGAGAAGGACATTGCGCACCGTTGAATACGTCCAGAAATTCTCACATCAGTTTCTGTTAACGGGTTTCATGAGATAGGTCACGTACTGTATGCCGCCAATCCTACCTCTAAATTGTTATTTTAACTTTATGATGCACTTATTTTCTAAATGAAAACGTTAGCAGGATTTTGTGGCGATATTCTCTCTGAAAAGATGACTGAATGCAATAATTATGGTTTAGGTATTTTAAATCTGAGAGATTAACCCATCTGGAGTAACAGGCTAACATTGCTGTACTTAGACAATATAATCACAAAAGGGAACGCTTTTGGAATTTTTTTCACTCGGAGTATGTTGTCAACCGTCTTCTTCAGCCCCATCACAAAAATTCCTATTACCACCATGACCTTATTACAGGCGTCTAAACAGCTTGCTTTATGATTGAAACCACAAAAGACGACGTAGCTCAGTATTTCCAGGTGGTTGCTGTTTCCAATAGAAGCGAAGAGCCGAGTCCCAGGAAGTAGTCTTGAAGAATGAGACACGATCGCCGGGACAAGAGCTTTATTAGCCTGACGTTTCGGATTCCTACTCGAATCCATCATCAGAGACAAAAGAGCAGACCCGTTTCTGCTCTTTTGACTCTGATGATGGATTCGAGTAGGAATCCGAAACGTCAGGCTAAGAAAGCTCTTGTCCCGGCGATCGTGTCTCCTTCTTGCAGGTTATTGTTTCATTGATAGCACAGGCGTTTTTTAATAGAAATGATTATTACTTCAGACCAAATCACCTGTTTCATAAAATGATGACCCTGGTCGAAACGTGGACACACGTATCCGTCATCGACCCCCAAGTATTTCAAAATGTCAGGCTACTACGCCATTGAACGTGAGTGAGCGTCTTTGAATCCAGCATACTCAATATCTGAGCGGTGCGACTGAGGAAACAGGCTTTTCCCAAATCGACATTGTGTATGCAGAACTTTCAAAAACGTGCCGTAATTTTCCGCTTCGGCAAGAGCCAACGATATGGAGTGTTTTCCCTACAGGCGAAAGAAACGCAGTCGCTTTGATTGTCTATAACCATTAGATAGATGTTGACCTATTAGCACGACCGTAGTCTGTTTGTTTATTGATCATATACTTTGCTGTATTTCTTTGGCACATCTCATGTATATTACATGTTCAGTTTATATCTTATCTCTGCATCATAATGTTTCTAAACGACACAGCGGAAGCGATCATTGTCCTATCTGACAGGGAGACAGCGAATCAAGTCCGCTCGATTGATGTCTATGAGTTGCTTTGAAAAGAATAGCATTTACACAATCGAGAGACCCTCGTCATTAGACACCAACGCAACGAACGTGAAGTAGTTAGTTCTGATGGAGGCAAAAAGAAAAATCGAAACAAATCCAATTATAAAAGATTCTGATATATCTGACCCGGAAATCAACTCAAATTCAAACCGTCGCGTCATTAGATCCATGAGGTTAATCAGGACGGGAAAGAAATGTTGTATTGCTTCTGTGCTTATTTTGGGTAGTCATTGGTAAGATGCGGTTATGTAGCCCCAGCGGAAGTACATAAACCACAACCGCCTATAATAAAGGACTGGTGGTAACAGGGTTTTTTTACAGGTGAAGCCGGGGAACGCACAGGCGACGACGTCAATTAGTTGTTCGCAAAAAAGGTATTGGTAATGCGCGATTGAACTTTGAGTGGTTGAGATATAGTTTTCGTAACCCATAACCCTAACACTGACCCCTAATTCTAATCCCTTACCCTAACCCCTAATCCCAACCCCAGCAGTATTGTGTCCAGCAGATGGGGCTACACAACTACATCTTACCTAGCCCTCAAGCTTCTTTTTTGCATTCTTCTTGTGTTCTTCCTACAACCTCCGCAGAGGCTACCATTTGGCAGGTCTGAACGTGTTAGGGGGAGCGCGGTTAGGTTGCTGATCGCTCACACTGCGGAAGTGCCCGGTCCTTATTAGCAGAGGACAAGTAAATGCCGCTAGGAGTGCTCCACAGCCCTCTGTGAGGAAAATAGCAAGGAAAGCGTCCTAAAACCCACGATGAGCACTTAGATATCATATAAAACACAAAATCATTGCCCGCGTTGTCAAACATAGTCTTTGCTTAAAGTGATCATTGTACGTACTCTTCCAATCTCTAGGTAGCACAAACCGCTTTATTTAGAATTGTTATCTCCAAATGACCAACAGAACGTCAATGTGCAAAACCGTGCTAAGACCTGACGGAAATTTAATCGCCTACAGGGGGTGCATTAAGGACTGATTTCGAAGCATTTTACTTTGCGCTCGACTGATATAGAGAACAAATATTAGAAAATTTGATTATACGCAAGATGGCTAGGAGGCATGTGACTACTGTGCAGTATAAGGCACAGTTGAGTGTCTTTTACTAATTGGATTTGCCATGTCGCAACACAATAACCCACTCATGTTCGGAAGCAGTACCCCTTACCTGAAGTCTTCAATTACACAGCAGTCAATTCACGCAACTTGTTCCCTAGTGAGTGTGTTGCTTTCAACAGGAATCATGTAGTCCTCTTACACAAAACTGCAAGAAAATCAGCGTCACATATTTAAACAGCGTAGTGGTGAGGCATGGCATGTCAGCGTGACTTCAAAAAATTGAATGTCTTTACAAGCTTTGGTTTTTTTTCTCATAAAACGTACAATTCAAGACCGTGTTTTGGAGGTCTGATTCGATCAAACTTCAGTGACGCCCCCATCAAGGACGATGTCGGTCACGCAACTCCTACTCCTCGACCCCAGCTCCCCTCTCGGCCTTCGCATTCTGCATTTCTTCGTTTGCGTCCCTTCGTTTACTACCTGATTACAAACTAACCTTTCCTCTGTCTTCACTACTTTCTCATTCCCTCTCCCCTTATTTGGTTCCTCCTCCTCATCCTCCGCATCTGCCTCTTCTTCTTCTTCTTCCTCCTCCTTCTCCTCCTCCTCTTCTCTTCCTTTCCCTCCTCCTTCTTTGTTGGATTGTTTTTTGACCCATTCGCATATGTTCTTTCATATTGACATGTAAATAGTAGAATAAGTTTGTCTCTCCGCATCACCCCAGACTTTGTAACTCATGGGCTTTACTCCCCCCTTCCTCCTCCTCATCCTCATCCTCCGCATTTGCCTCTTCCTCCTCCTCCTTCTCCTCCTCCTCCTCCTCCTCCTCCTCCTCCTCCTCCTCTTTCTCCACTTAAAATACCCTAATCGTGGTCCCAATACTTATCTTTTTCCTATTCCTCCAACGCTCCAAGTTTCTCCAACTTCTCATTCTCCTATGAGTCCTCTACGTCTTTTACTTTCTCCCATTCATGCTCACTTGCGTCGACCACAACCATGTCCTCATCTTACAGCTTCTTCTACCACTTCAGCTCCAATACCTTATATCTCTTGTCGAAATCCCTTCCACTATTACTGCGTCTCTTCGCCGCGATTCCTCTCCTAAATCAACATCATCATTACAATTTCCATGAAAGGGCGACGCCTCTCCATTATGAGCACGATCATCTAGCCGCCATGAGCAACACTGTGTTTTAGTACACGGAATTGTGCAAACGGCATCTTTCTCATAGAAATACCCACATTTTTATTTAGATCTCCCAAGCGGGTATGAAAAGGACTAATGAATATGAGCGCTGTTTTTTTTCGAGAAAGTTCAGACATCTTTCAAATAGTTCAGCAGTATTTAGTAGTTAAGCGGTTGTTTACTAAACGGTTGAGTTTGGTCTCCACAGTGATTACATTTTGCGGTACGCATCGCTTTTGACTGATGAATGAGCGCCCAATAATGATTAAATGGCCAAAGACTAGAGCACTCTTTAAGTATCTGCGCTTGACTGAAAAAAATCGTTAATCAAAAAACTTTATGGGTTCGTCTCTCCCGTCTACCATTGATTTATATTCCATTACCTTACCCTCAACATTTTATTCAACATCACTCAGATATCATTTCTGGTCAAGATATAATTATGTTATCCGTAAAAAATAGTGTAGCTAGCTTCCCAGATGCGCAGTGGAGACAGCACCTGACGTTCCCTCACCGCTATTGTAGACAAGGTTTGGGAAAGAGAGATATATTTATAACTCGGATATATTTCACATGGGTGAGAGCCTCGTATCGACAATTCTGCAATTATCGGTAAACCGTTGTGTTTTTATCTATCCACGAGGTCTTCAGTTCACAACGTTACTATGCCGTCCGCTATAATCTCATAAAAAACGCTTTTATGTCATTGAAAAATCAGCGCAGGTTGGAAGATAATGAGATGTTGTGATGCAAATGGCTCAGCAGATACCCAGCGCATTTACATGCTTGGTCATGAAGTCGATGCATCCTTTATTCTTGCTGAAATCTCAGGCAGTCACGCTTAATGTATTTAGCCTCTCGTACCCGCTTTAATTTTGTCTGTTTTTCATAAAAAATGCGAAACAGTATGCCAGATAATACATTTTCAGTGCAAGAAGGGCTAGCGGCCTTATAGTCAGTTAGTTTGTGTTGCGAACTGGATGATAAAGCGTGAGTAACAGTATTAATGTTATTTTCTACCAGGCAAACGTCTGCAATTAAGGAATGATTTGGATCGGGAGGCATACATTAGCTTTGGAATCATTAAATTAGTGTTTTAGTATAATTCGGAGTGAAAAAATGAACACAGAAATCCCTTCTGTTGCATTTTGAAGATTGCTTAATTAGGGATCACCTTATGTGTTGTGTCCATTAAACTCTTTTGCTAAGTTTTCTGCACAAAATAATGTTAAATAGGTCCAGAATTACCAAACTGGGCTCAGGTTCCGAAAATGGTCAGATATCTGCTCTTAGTTAAGGGCCAGTATTTTGCGTTTTAAAAATAGCTACTGAGTTATCGGACGCCAGACGCTGATTGCATTACTTTTATTTTTATCGCAAATTGTTTATGGCCTACTCCAGAAACATCCGTCGAAATGATGAAGTATACATAAATTATTAGGTACTAAGGACTGTCTAGCTGCAGTTGTAATATTGATTTTTATGGCAAATTTTCCAATGTCTAGATGCGATTTTGGATGAATTTCTCTTCGTGCGCCTGCGAAAACCGCACTCTGTAAACAATAAATGCAAAATGTTATGGGGATTATTTGCATTTATTTTTGATGTCCCTGTTTACTGACATACGCTTTACATGAAAAAACAATTAAATTGCATTTTTAATTTTTTATTAAATACAGTTAAAGTTTGTGTCGCTCAGGTGAAGTGCCTCAAAACGAGAGACGAGGTAGTAAGAGACGTAACAAATCAATCATATTTACCACCCTCGGGCCTTCCATTCGTATAAAATTGCAAGAACTCATCCACAGTCTTCGTAATGCAATTCATATTGGGATATGTTGGCTAAAATAGGTTTTCTCTCTGGCCCATAGGTTACAGAAATCCAAATGCCAGTTTTAAGAACGGAGCAAGATTAAGATACTAATTAAAGGAAATTGCAACGTCATCTAGGATGCGGACTTATGTGCTCGAAACATCCCCAATAGAACTACCATAATTTGCAGTGAATGCGGACGACATGATTATTAGCAGGCGTGAGGTAGCATAGCAATTGCGGTTTATGCTTAATGCGCAGACTCCACGTCCACAATTTCATTCTGTTGTTTTCCATGCCCAAGCAATCATGGGAGACCTCAATCGACTTTCATTGCTACCCTAATGACCAAGCCACTATTCTCCCATCTACCGTGGCACAATTAAGAAAAAAATATATTTCCGAGAAATGACTGAGTTCAGTCCTTCTCTTCGTAAAGGGTCCACTACGACCGTTGGTAATTGCTTTTTCTGATTTCTCTTGTCGCTAGCAACACTTCTGATGACTGCAGCTATGTGTCTAGCCATTGAATAATGAGGGTCTCTCGCTCGCGTTAGTGTTGTTCTCTTAAGCGTCCTTTGGACCAAAATGACTCGCTGGCTTATCCTCAACTAGGTGGCCGATTTCCTTTCCTTTTAGCGTGCCCGAGAATAATAAGAAAGCGAGGAGATATAACAAAGAGGATTAAAAAATGTGAGATGCTTCAGGGATACGGAGCAAAGGATTTCTATTTTTAGACCTTAAAACGGTAGGCAACGTATCGCGGTCGTGATAGTTGACTGGAATTTGTGTTACTCAATGGTCCATGAGTGCGACATTCCTTTTTCGGCCTGCATCAAAGGCAGTCTACACAGTTTTTTGTCGTCGAATCATGAACTGCCTTCAAATTGTTGAATTCCGAATACAGTTATCCAGAAGGTAAAAATGAGTATATTCTGCCGACAAATAGCAGGTCCTAGATATTTCTTCATCAAGGTAGTGCAAAAATTCATCCCATGCCTCGAAATTACGAACAGATTTTTCACACACTTGTACGTTAGGCAAAACCCATAGTTTGCAGCCATTCCATATATATATGACTGATCGCTCCACACAATTTTATCACGGACGTTAGGTGTTGGTGTGATGAATGCTCGACCATTTGATCAACCGATCCTGGATTTGGAAAACGTGTTCACTTGTGTGCCTCCCGCGTAGCTTATTCGTCTATGCGAAGTCTCTGCACCGAGTATGCAAGGGGTAGTTAATTGCACTTGTTCATGTATTAGGGTTAGTAAACCATGACTAAAGCAGACCTCAGTTCACGCGGTTGTCACCTCCTACGAAAATTTCGATCCCGCCGAATTTTAATGCGTGGCCGTATCTCGTCGAATGAGTTGCAGCTTTACAGCTGCCGTCATTTCTCCGCACCGCTGCAGCGTGTTCGGCCATTTTTGTTCGTAGCTGTCTTCCGGTTTCTCGGACATACTTGGTTTGTCCGCAACTGAAACATATCCGATAAACGACTCCAGACGTTTCTAGCCGTGGGAGCAGGTCTTTTGGTTTCATTACCTGAGGCCTGATGGTTGCCTCTGGTCTGTGTGAAACGCCAACCCCAAGTGGTGCGAGAAAACGGCCGACAGCTTCCGAAACGCTTTCAACATACGAAAGCACCCGCCAAGATTTGGTGTTCGTGTGAGGCCGAAATTATCGCAAGATGTGATAACCGCATGAGCCGGGAGCTACTTGAATCATGGTTTTCTGGCCCGCAGTACATTAACGAGTGCATTGAACTTCTTTTCCATACTCGGTGCTGAGACTTCGCTTAGACGTAGTAATAAGCCGGGCGGGGAGCACACAAATGAACAGCTTTCCCAACACCAGGGTCAGTGGATCAGATGGTCGAGCAATCATCACAACAACACCCAACGCACGTGATCAAACTGCAGCAATTAACGACGCAAATGCCGGACATAACACCAAATGCGACGATCCCCGATGAAGGGGGAGCCTTGAATGTTCATAGGTATGCGGTAACATGGCGACTGCATCCTATATACACTTCAGCCCCCGTGCATGAATCACCTGAATCTGTTGTTGTCACTGATGATGCATTCAAGCAGGAATCGGAAACGTCAGGCTAATAAAGCTCTTGTCACAACGATCCTATCTACTTCATCAAGAATATTTCAGGGGACTCGTTTCTTCACTTCTGTCGGCAGTCTAATGTTCAGAAACAGTCAGAGGAATCAGTGAAAAAATCAGAGGCAAATGTTAAACGGGTATTACAAGAAATTGGTACGGTGTATTCTGATGGAGACTGTTAGGGGACGGATTGTTGTTGCCCACCAGGGCTGTTTCAGTAAAGCTCGAAAACTGTCCCTTTCGCCTGCCAGACTTTATGAAAGAGTGCGTCCGGTCTCGCTTCTTTAGAATTGTTTAAAAAAGTGTATTCACAACCCGTGAAACACTGTTGCAACGCAGGGAAAATTGATCTTTGGGACAAAGACTTTCAGCAGATTAGGTTCATATCAAGTTTTGGAATCGGTAACTAGGAACGCGTCTAGGGATGAGCAAGTAAAATGTACGTGTGAAGGACGAAAAACTAAGCGGCGAATTAAGCTGCATCCTCCGAAGGGCATTAAAGCGTTGTGGATGATGAATTGATCTTCAACTTAGGCTTTCTCCAGAAAGAACTAACTCTGGGATCTGTTGAAAACAGTTGTGGACCATATAGTATTTTAACCCTAAGCGTCGTATGGCACCGAGACGATATCCCGATAAAGTTTAACTAGGTTATAAGCCGTGGCTGATTTTCTGCATGACAAATGTTACCCCCTCTTCATCTAAATTCAAACAAGCATTTACAGAATCCTGGA